GGCCTGCTGTGTTCATCCAGCTCTACACCTTGTTATCCCAGCTTTCTCTGATTAGCTCTGATTTTGTGAAAGTTCTCATTCACTCAGCAACTGGATTCTAGCAACTTCGCCAAAACAGATAATAAGCTAATAGATCTATAATTCCTAAGTTTATCCTCACTGGAGGTTCAATGTGTGGATATCGAGTGATGGCAATCTTATGATAGACTATGATACTGGCCATGCAGCAATAGTCACCCATAATACCCTGTCAGGAAATGCCTTATATGTGAAGACTGTCCTCTTGGGGGAGAATGCATGATGCCTTGGTGCCTACACCCAACTATCAACCAGCGCCATCAGCAGGGAAGATAATATAAGAGGACACTTTGAAGGCCAAGGATCTTGTAGAATTGAACATAGAATGATTATAGCTTTAATTCTAGTTTGGTGTTGTCTGGTTCTCAACCCTTTCACCAATGGTCAGTTTCTCCCCATTTACTTTGTCCCCTTCTGATTTTGGACACCTCCATTCAATCTCTGCTCAACCTTTTTTTTTCCTCTAAAGAGAAAAGACCCAGCTTTCCAAACTATCCTCATAACTGAAGTCTTTCATCCATTGGAACCACTCTTGTAAATCTTTTCAGCAACTTCTCCAATTACTTCTCATCCTTAAAGCTTGGTGCCTAGAACTGGATACAATCCTCCACTTGAGGATAAACCAGTTCTGTAAAAGTTCATCATAATGTACTTGCTTTAGTACTCTATGACCCTATTTACAAAATGCAGGATTACAATGGCTTATAAAGTCAGTTTTTCACTTTACTCTGTCACATTTTTCCCTTCAGGGAGGGGGACTGGATTCTGGTTGAACAAATATTTATATTTTGTGAGTGGTTGGACCTGAGAATGTGTGAATATTATAGCAATTAGTGGGACCATACACAGAGTCATCAGTGGGACCATTGATGAGAACATCTCTAGGACAAGTCACACGGACAGCTGAAAGTAAGTTGGATTTCATGGTGAGGAATTTGTGGAACATATCTCGACTGGAGAAAAACAATATTCTTATTGTGTCTATGTTGTGGCAGAATAGCAACAAGTTTGCAAGGAGCCTTTGTAAGATTCCTTCTTCCTGTATCTCCTCACTACCCAATAACTTACCACACAATTATAAGTCTGTCATTCTTACCTCTGAATCACAAAATTGTGTTCAAGTACTACTCCAGGACTTGAGACAAAAATCAAGGTTGACATCCAATGCAATACTGAGATAATGCTGTTCAATCAAAGGTGTTGTCTTTCAGATGAGATGAGAAAATTGAAAACACATCTGCCTTGGGTGAATGTAGAAGGTCTCATACCACAACTGTGAATAGAGCAGGAGAGTTACCTGTGGTATCCTGGCCAATATTTATTTATTCCTCAATCAGATTATTTGAACATGTTTGTGGGAGTTTGCTATGTGCAAATTGGCTGCAGCTTTTCATACAATAAATTAGTAGTAAGTAATTTATTGGCTGTAAACTATTTTGAGGTATTGGTACCTGTGAAAAGCAAATATAAATGCAAGTCTTGTATAAAATTGTTCCTATTAGCAGTGACACTCAAGGAAATCTACCAATGTTAAAACTATGTGGCAGGCCTGTAGGCATGTGATAGAGGAAGAAAAGGTTTGTATCTATTGTCTCCACAAAAATATTAATCAGTATTGCAGTATGAACTGATTTGTGTTTCTAGGCAGTTCTTGGAATTAGGTTCATGGGATGGGGACAGGATCGATCTTTTAGTTCTTATCAATGGTTCACTGTTAACATGCATTACTACTTTCAAGGAAAAGCTTTTCCAAAAAGAACGTGAAGTAGAAGCAAAGATAAAGAAAACTCTAGTCGAGCTCAGATTTTTGCAACAAAATGTTGACTCAATCATGGTGAGTATATCCTTGAGATTTGAGGAACATCAGTTGACTATGGTGCATGCGGTCAAACAGTCAGTGGCCCTGTGTCTTACTCTTTGTTAGAGCTCTTCACTTAAAGTGGAATGTGAAATTAGAGGCACATTCTCTGTAATGACTGAAGCCATTGAGGAAGCCACTGAAGAAGTGATTGGATTGGTCGAGAACACAGTGCAGGCAGCACTGAGCCGGGCTGACAGTATCCGGAGCCAACTAGAACAGAAATGTGATGAACTGAGAGAGGAGGAGCAGCAACTGAAAACCTTGTCAAAGAGCAGTGATCATGTGATGCTGGTGCAGGTACTGAATATACTGATTCCATTTCTATTCATTCATCCACCCAACAATCAAATGTGCTGATTCAGATCTTAGAGATTAAACCTGATTGCAGCTTTGTGACAAAGGTCAATGCCTATGCATCCAATATAAGCGATAAAGACTGAGAGATAAACTCCTTGCTGGCTCAGTGAGTTAATTTCAATTTGCCTGAATCATACAGAGCTGAGCACGCAGGTTTTAATCACTGCTCTATGCTGTGTCAGCTAATAGCAGCTTTTTTAAAAATTCAGTCACTGATGTGGGCATCACTGGCAAGGTCAGCAATTACTAACCATTTCTAAAAAAAGGTGGTGGTGAGCTGGCTTCTTAAAGCTCTGCAGTCCATGTGGTGTGTATATATCCACAGTGCTGTTAAGAAGGGAGATCTAGGATTTTGGCCCAGCGACAGTAACGGAACAGCAATAAAATTCCAGATCAGGTTGGTATGTGGCTTGGAGGGAAACTATCAGGTGCTCCTATGTACCTACTGGCTTTGTCCATCTAGGTGGTAATAGTCATAGGTTTAGAAGATAGTGTCAAAGGAGCTTTGATTGGTTTCTGAAGTAGATCTTGTAGATGGTTTGAGTGTTGTTGGAACCAGGAAAGTAGAGACTATTGCATCACACTGATGACTTGTACCCTGTAGATGGTGGACAGGCTTTGATGAGTCAGGAGGTGAGTTACCCACCACAGAGATCACAGCCTCAGACCTGACTTTGTGGCCACAATGCCTAAATGGTAGGTTCAGTTCTGTTTCTGGTCAATGGTAACCTCCAGAATGTTGATAGTGGGGGATTCAGTTATAATAATGCCATTGAATGTTAAATTAAGATAGCTAGATTCTCTCCTTTTGGAGATGGTCATTGATACTTGTGTGGCATGAATGCTATTTGACACTTACCAACCCAACTATGAATGTTGTCCAAGTCTTGTTGTATTTGGATACAGACTGCTTCAAAGCTAAATAGTCATAAACAGTATTGAAAATGTGCAATCAGTGAACATCCCCAATTCTGACTTTGTGATGGAGTGATGGTCATTAATGGAACAGCTGTAGGACATTACTCTGAAGAACTCTGGTTGTCCTCTCCCTCTGGCTGAGATGACTGACTTCGAGAAACCAGAACCATCTTATGTTGTGTTACATATGACTCCACTTGGTGGAGAGCTCTCCCTCTCTTTTCCATTAGCTCAAGCTTTGCTAGGGCTCACTGATGCCATACTTGGTCAAATCCTGCCTTGATTTCAAAGGGCAGTCACCTCACTTCCACTCTTGCATTCAGCTGTTAGTCCATATATTGGACAAAGGCTATAATGAGATCAGGCGCTGAATGGGCCTCAGAGAACCCTAACCTAAGTGAGCAAGTCATTGCTGAGTACATGCTACTTGATAGCACTGTTGACGATCCCTTCCAACATGCTGCTGACAATTGACAGTAGGCTGATGGAGTACCACCTGGGTGATTTGAATTGTCCTGCTTTTTCTGGACAGGATTCACTTGTGCAATTTTTCACATTGCTTAGTAGATGCCAGCTGGGTAGCAGTAAGAGTCTTCAATAGACTAAATTGTGTCAGGTCAGAGAGAAAGAATGTAATGCTTCAGCACTAGATCCCATCCAGACATGTTTGAGGTAGATGCAAGGTGAAGGACAGGGGCATAACAGCCTGTCTGAAAATTTTGATGCATTCAATTAAAACGTATTCCTCCAAAACCCATCCTCCATTGTCTAGTTCTGTCACCCTCATCTGGTTTCATTCTTACCTGATCAGTTGTAGCTACAGGATAAGCTCTTAAGGTGGGAGTGTCCCTGTCTCTGAGCCAGGAAACCCAGGTTCAAGCCCCACCTACTGCTGATGTGGGTAACAACATCTTTGAACAGGGTGATTTGAAAATATGTGTGGCTATAAGATTTGCAGCAATGTATTTCTGACTACGTACCATTTACATTTGTTGTCCTGCAAGGATTTACCATTGGTTCTCATGTATTTTAATGTGTACATCCTTCCCCTTGTCAATTTCCTCCACACACAATGGTTCAGCTTCTACATATGTACAGACAATACCCAGGTCTACATGCCGCCACCTCTTGATCCCACCGTTGCCTGTCCTGGATCCACATGAGCCACAATGTCTTCAAGTTCAATATTGGGTAGACTGAAACCATTAACTTTACCCCCTTGTCATTGATTCCATCCCCTCCAAAAAGCTACCTCAAACTGAAACAGACTGTTCACAACCTTGGAATCCTTTTGACCCTCAGCCGGACTTCTAACTCATATCCTTTCTGGTATTGAGACCATTTACTTCCACCTCAGTAATAATGCTGATCTCCTCACTAGCTTTTCATCCTTCATAAATGTTAACACATCCAAAACTCTACTGCCCAGATTCTAACTTACAACAATTCCCATTCAGCTGTCATCATGATGCTTGCCAACCTATAGGGAATGGAGATGTGACTCTTGGACATGAAGCATGATCAGTGCCTTCTGGACAGTAGGATGGGGAAATGCCTCTCGGACACTGGGAAATATGGAACAGGAACTATGTCTCTGTGATATTTTCAAACTTCTGATCTGCTTTATTTCCTATTAGGAATCTTTAGCTTTGAACTCATCATTGCAGACTTGGGATATCCCAGCGTTCAGCTCCAATGTTGAAGCCAAGCTTCGCTGTGCCAGTAAAGTAGCAACTGACCTCTCAGCACTGGTTACAGGATATCTGAGAGCAGCTGTCAGGCAACTGAAAAACAACAAAATAAAGGGTTAGTCAGTTAGTTTGTCTGTTAGTCTGTTAGAAAGTATGCTACACATTATATACTTGTGCTCAATTTTAAAATTTTACTACTTTATAAACTGGAGATTATCTTTTGCAGCACTGAGAATTTTTAACTTGTTCGACATTTGTCGTTAATCTCTTTGTTTGTGAATATGCTGCATTAGCCCTGTTGATGCCCTTTGTCTTCATATCTATCTATCTACAAAATAGCTCCCCATGGGACTACCTTGCCTTGATTAACTTTCGTCTAGCTGATCATAGAGAGAGATTCTCTTGCAATGTCTTCATTTCTTGATCTCACACCTTTTCCACTGGAATCAAACTCACACCAATCACCTCTATGCTTGATAAACTGATCTTGTTTAAGCAATGCTTCGATTTAAAAATTCTCATCTTTCATTTTGAATACCTCCATTGTATAACCCCTCCCTATCCTTTAATCTCCTACAACCCTACAGCTTTCTGAGATCTCAGCACTCCTCCAATTTTAGCCCATTTCACATTCTTAGTTTTAGTTAGCAACCCTGCCTTCAGCTGCCTGCATTCTAAGCTCTAGAATTCCTTTCCCAAATATCTCCACCTTTTCACCTATTTTCACACATTAAATCCTATTTCTTTAACCAAGAATTTGGTCAGCTGACCTATTATCTCTTTATGTGTGTCCCCATGTCAACCTTTCTCTGCTAGCACTCCTGTGAAGCACTTGGAATATTTACTACATGGAAGATTTTACATGAATACAAATTTCTATTGAGTTGTCCCAAGGATCTCCTCTTCACCCTCGTTTATATCTTAACTCTGGAACAATATGTTCTGTCTGCGCATGCTTGCCTGAGAGGCCAGACAAGTAATGAACTCAACACAGATTTCCAAAACAGTCAATTGATGATTTTGCTTGACTTCAATTTTTAAGAGGTTCCAATAATTTATTCTTTCTGATGTCTCTCTTGTCAATGCCACAATGTTCTTTTGGACAAAATTAAGATATATGAAGTGTTTGAAGATTCTGTCATTGATGCTTTAATAGTCAATCTGATTTTATAGGGTTGTAGGAATAGCAGCTTTTTTTCAAAGGATATTTCCGATTAATTTTCTCAGCAGATCCACACTTTTGCCACTGTTATTTTATGGTTCACTGGCTACTTAGATAGTTCTGGTGGGTGAATGGACATGGAAGAGGCATGGTATTGGTACGGAGAATATGATGGGCTTGTAGAAAGTAGGTGGAAGGACATGAATTGGTATCAGGTCGCCATCGAAGTTACAAGGTGCCATATATGTGGGGGCATGGGCTGCCACAGAGGTTATGAGGGGGTGAAGGGGAAAGATGGCTGGTGGTGGTGGTGGTTGGGGATGGGGTGGTGTAGATGTATAAGATCTTTGAACAAAAAGTTCTTATATCCAGCCAACAGTTAAGGATTCCTGTGGGGATATCATGGAGAAGCTGGTCCACCTCCACAAATTGTGTGGGGCTAAGAAATGTCTGAAATGGAGTTGGCCGGATCAGAGTGCAGAGTGCAGCTACGTTACCTACACTTTTATCCAATGCCAATGAAAACTGGTAGTTCAAGGAATGAGGTTGGGAGTCTTGGAATCAGGTTCCTCTCACCATTTTTAAATAGTTCCAAAGTTGTCTTACCTCTGAATGTCCAGCCCTCAATCTTGGATGATTTGCAATTTCCTCTAATGAATCACTGGGCTATAAATTTTGGCCCACAGTCAACTCCATACCGTAATTATCAATTCAATTTTTTTTCAGTTTTACCTCAAGCTGAGCCAGACTGTTCACTCTCTCATTTGAGCTTCCTGTCCTATAGCTGCATTGCCACAAACACTTCACAATGCCACTTACTACTGGCCCAATCTTAGTCCACCTGCTGCTGCATATGTAACCCAAGTCTTTTTATCTTTAGAATTGACCACTACTGGCATCTTGTGGTCCATAAATTTCAACTCATCCTAACTCTGCTGCCTGTATCTTAACTTACACCAAGGCTTGTTCACCCATCATACCTGTGCTCAATGACATACATTGGCTCCTAGTCCCTCATTACCTCCATTATAATGTTTGTCTCTGCCTCTGGCCTCTTGCACATTCCCCATTCACCTCTCTCCAATTTGGCAGCTGTGACTTCAAAGCCTCCCACTGCCAAGGTAAAATGTAGAGCTGACAACTCCCTTTTTCTGTTTGTTTATGCCTGTAGAATGTCCAGGGGAGGATGCACTGACTAATCTGCATTCAGAACATCAGAAAGAAGGATAATTGTAGGCGGAACAAACTAAAGAAGGTAATAAGCCATAAACAACTCAAGGTGAAGTTATTAAATCTCACATGTGTTCCTCCTATGTTAACTTGCATAGAACAAGACCGGGATCTCCCCACAGTGACTCCTTTGTCTCAAGTTCCCCTGCTTCACCTGGAAACCAGAGAGGATTTCTTACCCTGTGAGTGTTCTCCATGAACTTATCAGAGTTATTACTAAGACAATCATGGAAATGAACAGACAGGTAACTGTGTAATGCAATCTGTACACACAATTCAGATTCCAATCTAACCACCTCTATATTTATTAAACTTCTTTGTGTACCATTTTCACTGCTTTGTTGGAAAACAAATGATGAATGTTGTATTTCCACTGTCACAAACACAGTGAACCACAGGTCAATTCACATCACTCTCTCATGCTGCACAAAACCAAACCAGTCACAGGGAATGTAACAGGTCACAGCATCATTTAGGTAGTGTTCAATCTGTGCTGCCATCAGGCAGTAGCAGACAATGTGATGTTTTTCTGAGGTTCTCACCATTACAGGCTGTATTAGTGGTTTATACATCAGTAAACTGTGGGGGAAATTCAGTGCTCCTGGGATATAGAAACCTTGCAATTTCTTCAGCCTGTTTCACCATTCAGTGATAATGGCAGATCCATATCCAAAATTCACATCTTCTTTGCCTCCGTACTCTTTTATATACTTGGGACGGTAAAACTCTATTGGTTTTATATATTAAATTATTGAATCAGCATCCACTCCTTTATGTGGGAGAGTTCCATTTATACCAGCTTTTGCACAATTATGTACTCCCTGACTTCTCTCCTGAATAGAATGGTCTGCCTCTGAGTAAAGGGTTCTGTCTCCCTGTGTTAGACTCTGCCACTCTCAGTGACAAAAATTTCCATCTATCCAATCACTGCCTTTTACAATCCTAAAACCTCAAGTAATCACCTACTAGTCTTCTATTTTCCAGGGTCTGGCCTAGACGTGACCCCAGACCCACAACAACATGTATGACTCTTAACTGCCCTTTGGGAAATTAGGGATGGGCAATAAATACTAGCCCAGAGAGCGATGTGAACTAATAAAAACAAGTTTGGATTAGGAAGTAATATAAAGAAACCAGCTAACATCATAATTAAATGTAATAAAATGTATCTAATTGTTATATCAGCTCCCTGGGATTGTTGTAGTGACCTTTATCCAGACACTTTGTCAGCCTTTTTCGTAGAATCATAACCAGAAAATGGAGTTAATTGAATCGTTCTGTCTGTGTTGACTCTCTGAAAGACCTAGCAAGTAAATCACACACCCATACTTACTCTTTCCCCATAGTTTTATATTTTTTTCTTTTCAAGTATTTGCCCAATTTTTTATTGAAAGTTGTAAATGAATCTGTATCAGCTGCTTGTTCAGATAGCGAATTCCAATCTGTATGGTTTTTCAAGAGAATGTTTATTTAACTGTAAAAATATAACTGAATGCAGTTTTTAAGAGCACAGACAACTTGTTAATGCAAAGTTGATTTTTTTAAAAAAACTATTTCTCAGCAAATGTTTGTGCCTCTCTCTTTTTCTCAATGCAGATGCTGTGAATCTGACTTTTGATCCCAACACAGTGAATAATTATCTCCATTTATCAGCTGGAAATCAGACGGTGACGGAATGTTATCCAGAGTCACAGGCCTACCCTAATCACCCTGAGCGCTTTGACAGCTTATGGCAGGTGTTATGCAGTGAAAGCCTGGCCTGTGGTAAATACTACTGGGAGGTGCAGGGTCAGACTTACACACACAACTTCCTGGCCAAAGTAGGGGTTGTGTATGGCAGGATGAAGAGAAAGGGGGCAGAGCGGTCATGTTGTATTGGTGAAAATGCTATGTCCTGGTGCTTGAACGTTTACCCAGATGGGGGAACCTGGCTCCGTTTTTCCACAAGACACAGAAATAAAGGTATTAACCTCCCAGCAACCAGGTGCAACCGGATTGGGGTTTACCTGGACACTGAAGCAGGCACCCTCTCATTCTATGCGTTCAGTGATAGAATAATCCTTCTGTATAGATTCCAAGCTGTCTTCACTGAACCCCTGTATCCAGCCTTTGGCCTTTATTCCAATTCCTCTCTCACTATTCAGCAGTTTGATCACTAGTTATTGCTTCCAGCACCTCTGTTCTGACCTTGCACCTCATTACCAAGCACAATCCAGATTTCCTTTCAAAAATGTTTCCTCAGAGATTAGTCTGAGCAATTCCTATGAGGTAGGACAAAACTGTCAGCAAGGTGGAGCTTCATACAAGAAAGGGTTATAGAGGGAGAGAGTGAATTAAAGTGAAACAGAATTAGTGAGCAGACAATGACAGCTGCTTTACATCAATGAGTAAATCCTCTGCCCCAGTGGGACTGAGCTTGAGAGAGTCAACTTCTTGCACTAAGTTTGTTGATTGAACCTGGTGTAACATTATTCTTACGTATTCCTGGGATTTGTGTTCACTGGCAAGGTCAGATTTGTTGCCCTGAGAATGAACATAGCGAGTCACACTCTTGAATTGCTGCAGTCCATATGGTTTGGATATAGCCACAGTATTGTTAGAAAGAGAGTTCCAGAATTTTGATTCAGACAGTGAAACAACTGCAATATTATTGCTTCAGCAGAGGACGGTGTGCGTCTTGGATGGGAACTCGCAGGTGATAGTATCCCCACACATCTTGTTCATCTAGATGATAGAGGCTGTAGGTTTGGAAAATGTCAAAGGATACCAGATGAGTTCCTGCAGTGTATTTTGCAGATGGTACATACTGTTGCTTTTGTGCAGCAGGTGGAGAGATTGTGTGTTTAAGATCGTGGATGGGGTACTGGTCAAGGAGGCTTCTTTGTCCAGACGATGTTGAGCTTCTTGAATGTTGTTGGAGCTGCACTCATCCAATCAGGTGAAGAGTATTCTATCGTACCCCTGCTTTATGTCATGTAAATCGTGGAGAGGCTTTGTGGAAACAGGATGAGAATTATATGCTACAGAGTTCCCAGCCTTTGACCTGCTCTTGAAGTCACAGTATTTATATAGCTGGTCCAGTTATATTTCTGGTCAATGGTAACCCCTAGGATAATGGTAGTGATTGATTCAGTTACTGTAATATTATTGTATGTCAGGGAGAGATGGTTAGATTCTTAATGTAGGAGTTAGTAACATATCAACACATGAATTAAGAGCTGGAGTATATCGTTCAGTCCTTCAAGCATGCTTCACCAATCACAGGATTACAGCTGATCTGATTGTAAAATCAAATCAAAGGAGACCTTATTGAAACATACAAGATTCTTGGGCACACAAGCACAATTAATGCTGGAGAAACTCAGATCTGGCAGCAAATGTGGAGAGACAAACAGAGTTAATGTTTCAAGTTCGCTATGATTCTTCTTCAAAAAAAGATTTTTGGGTGGCTAGGCATGGTGAATTTGGAGAGATTGGTTCTCCTTATGAAAGAATTTAAGACCAGCAGGCATAGTCAAAGTAAGGAGGGTTTTTTCTCTCAAAAGGTAGCGAATCTTTGGAATTCTTTACCACAGTCTGTTAAGTATATTCAAGGCTGAGAGAGACAGATATCTATTTGGTCAGCGAATCAAAGGATTCCTTGAGGGACAAGGGAGGAAAGTGGATTTGAGGACTATTGGTCAGCCATGATTTGATTGAATGGCAGAACAGACTTGATGGGTCAAATGGACTACTTTCACTTCTACATCTTATGGTCTAAATCCTCATTCCCACCTAACCCTAATAACCTTTCACCTCCTTGCTTAACAAGAATCTATTTACAGGGGTTCTGCTATAACACGTGTTCCAGCAACGTGAAATGGCTATAATGTGACTGAAGTATAGGGGAACGCTATCTCTAAAACGCGAACTTGTGTTGGCTACAATGTGACTCATCAGTGCGCAGAGGAGAACACGCCGACATCACATGATCGTTTCGCAGGCTTTGTCCTGAGCATATGCAATGTCAGCACCTAAACAGTCTCCATGCCAGCATAACGTGATCATCGCGCTTTCTGTGAGAGGTACAGTACTTTTTATTGCAAGTTCTACTGTGTGTTACCCACAAAAATGTGAGGACAAAGTGACAAGAATGTTGGCAAGAAGCGTCCTGGTGTTAAAATTGCAGATGGTGAATGTAAAAGAAAGACTATACCACTGGAAGAGAAGGCAGATGTTATAAGCATTTTGAGCATAATGAGAGAACATGTGAAAATAAGTTCGCACAACAGGAATAAAGGAGTCTATCTTATGCACCATTAGAGACAATGCAGAAAAAAATAAAGCAAGCTGTATTGCAGGAACAAGTCTGAGCCACTGTGGGGGATAAGGACAGTGTTCTTCAATTTTGGAAGAGCTTTAACATCAAGAATGCAATTGACATTATTGTATAGGCCTGGGGTGATGTCAGTAAGGACTGCTTGCATACAGTTTGGCGGAAGCTTCTCCCAGATTCTTTTAAAAGATTTTAAAACCTTTGATCTGTCAGGGGAGCCCCCAAGAATCAAAGAACATTGTGTTGATCTTGAAAAGCAAGTTGGATTGGAAGAAGTGGAGAGGCAGGACGTTGAAGAGCTGCTTGAGTCCCACGATGCAAGACCTCTCTGCAGCAACTTGTCATTGAGTGGGAAGTGGAAGCTGGACATAAAGAAGACAAAGTCCAGGATGCAGCACAACGAGAGCTTTCGAAGAAGGGTCTAGGCCCGAAACGTCAGCCTTCCTGCTCCTCTGATGCTGCTTGACCTGCTGTGTTCATCCAGCTCTACACCTTGTTATCTTAGAGCTTTCGACTTCTGTTTTGTCTTCTATTCTGAGGGAATTTGAGAAGTAGTTGCAGCTTTTAGAGGACAATGATTACAATGCAGAACACAGCAGGGTAGCAGTTCATGGAATAAGATGATGAGGTGATGATGATGATGATGACGACCCTCAGCCCTTGCATTAACAACAGAGCAACCTCAAAACCTCCTCCCCCATCAAGTCATCTTGACATTTTTTTCAAGATAAGATGTTAAATTTACTTTTATTTCATTATTAGCTATGAAGTAAACATTTATTCAAACTGTGCTATCCTTTGTGTTAGGCTTTTGATTGACTGATTTTCGTTAGTGATTTTGAGTGATTTTTTGGTGGTCTGACCCTAACCCCGCTTTTCCCAAAATCCCGTTATTTCTACAGCACGATTTTCTAGAACACAGTGTTGTGCAGGAATGCAACTATTGCATTACAGAAATTCTGTTTTAAAATTAATCCAGGACTCTGTTTTCACCATCTTTTCAGGAAGAGTGTTTGAAAGACTTCTCTCTCTGAGAGAAAAAAGAAAGTTTCATATTTGTGTTTTAAATGAGTAACCCCTGATTTTTAAAAAAGTAATCCCTAGTTCTAAGTTTTCCCACAGGAGGAAACATGTTTTTTCATATCTAGCGTGGCCATTGTGCAAATTGAATGAAGCAATGATGTATTTGAAATATAAATGCCAGTCTCTTCCATAGCTGCATAACATAATGCAGCTTCTTCCATGTATCCTGAAATACTTGAAACAGTCCTAACCAAATTAAGTTCTGAGGAAGGGTCACTGGACCCAAAACATTAACTCTGATTTTTTCATCACAGATGCTGCCAGACCTACTGAGCTTTTCCAGCTGCTTCTGTTTTTGTTCCTGACCAAATTAAATATTGGTTGATGGTGAATGATTCAGTATGTTTCAATCAAGTCACTTCTTGCTCTTCTAATCTCCAGCAGGCACAAGTCTAGCTTGTTTAACCTTTCCTCATTAGACAACCCTTTTATTCTGGGTATTGGTCTGGAAAACTGTCTATAAACTGACTCCAACACGATTACTTCCATCCTTAATAAGGTGACTATTACAGTCTGTCAAAGCCAACTTACGCCTCATATTCTCCTAGTTTCCCTTATTAAGGTTCAGCACCCGAGGCTCCAAATCAACAACCTCACTCTGCATCTTGATAAAAAATTCTATCATTTTATGGTTTTCTTGACCAATATATGGCCTGCTTTCTAGTTGGTTCCTCCATATATTGGTCAAGAAAACCATCCCGTATACACTCCTGGAATTTCTTCTCTATGGTATTGTGGCTAAGTTGATTTTCCCAATCTACGTGCAGATTAAAATCACCCATGATCACCAAAATTCCCTTATCACATGGATTTCTAATTTCCTGTAACTCCCCCAACACATTCATCTCTCTAATCTGATTTACTCTATACTAATATACATGTGGGTCAGGAAATAATGCAGAGATTATGATCTTTGAAGTTATATTTCTTAATCTGGTACCTACCTCCTCGTATTAACTATGAACAACTTCCTTCTTTGTCTTGTTTTGTCATTGGTACCAATGTGGACAATGTCAACTGGATCCTCCCCTTCCCACTGAATTTGCTCTCCAGCCCTGAGCAAATGTCCTGAACCCTGGCACTGGGCAGGAAACACAGTCATTTGGACTCATGCTCTTTTCTGCAGAGAACAGTGTTAATCTCCTTCACTATACTGTCCCCTACTGCCACTACATTCCTTCTTACTCCCTTCCACGTCTTTAATGGCGTCCAGTACACAGTGGCATGGTTGTCAGCTCATCCACCTTGCAGTCCTCACACTCATCTGGACAAGTTGAAAGAACCTCAGACCTCAGGCAATTGAAAAGGATGAAGCTCCTTTGCTCCTATCCTCTGGGTCCCCTTATCTGCCTCACATGCAGTCAGGCTCTTTTGTCCCTTATCATGTTTAAATTAAGACTATACTCTGTGCATGTTCATCATCCATCTTTTATGCTTCAGATACTTTAAACTCTGTTTCTATTTGCATACTTTTTGTGATCAATGTCTGAGGTTGCATGGCTGAGGATACTAATGGCCGTTTTCATAACACTGTATGCTGAATCTATCAGTATTCTAACGACATCTCTTGTCATTCAGGAGGAAATCTGTGGACAGACTTGGTTCAGATGGTGGCTGAAGGTTTAAAAAATTAGAACTCTTACACCAACCTGCCCACTTCTGGGTTAAATGGCGGTGAGAAGAAAGGAGAGGGCACCCCAGCCTGAGACCTAATGAAACTAAAGAAGAACAGGTGCTGGATATATTAAGACTTAATTTGGTATGAATTAGTTGTAAAAAAATGGGAAGCCAGCAATTGGGTGGGGTGAATTTATGGAGTGTGGTTAGTGCGATTAACTAAAATAAATCTCATTTAAAGTATGGACTTGGACTCTGTTTAAATTTTCTATTGTTTAACACCCAGTCTGAATTAATGGACATGTGGCTGTAAAACCATTGGCAAATCCATAGAAATAGTGGTTGATTTGAAGGGTGATCAGCTTTCTGA